GAGGATGGCTGCTTGCGTTGTGGCCGAAACGTCGTGAGAATTATTTAATTTATGTTTTATTATTTTATTATTTCCCTTCTATGTGACTTTACCGAAAGAACCAAGAAGATTTACAGGATGCTTCAACAAAACATGTTCACACTTCTGAGAATTTTGCAACAATACCACAAGAAGCCACCTAGAGAAGATTCCAGGCACGCGTTGACAACGATGGCGAACAAGTCGAGACTGACTTTTTGAAGCTATTAACATCACATTTGTTATCATGTTACAGTGTTTTTAAATCCTTTATATTAAGTTCGCTTGCTTGCTTGCGCGCTTACGACCGTGCAAATCTTTCGGTCGTTTTTTAACCCACTTCCCGTGATCCAATCGAGCTGACATTTTGCACACAGACTCGTTGTGCGTGACAATTGATTTTCGTAAGAAAAAAAATTCCTAAATTTTCAACTTTTTAGGAAAAAAAATATTTAATATTTAATTTAAAATACCAATGTGATATAAATGAAACTCTTACTCAAGAAAAACAGAAATGAATAATAAAATAAAACCGATGCCACGCATATAAAGGATTTATATTGAAAAACTTTGTTTTTACGGGTTACATTTTTTATCCGTTCTTTTTTCATTAAAAGCGATAGGCCCATATAATTGTTTTAAAACAATGAAGTGCCCTGATTATTGCGGAGAGCAGCTGGGTTACACAACAAGGCGATGACTGAGAATCATTAGAGAAAGGCAAAGTTAGAAATCTTGGACATTTCGATTTAAAGCTTTCGTGACTGCAGGGATTAATATTATTGGTTCTTTCGATAAAGTCACGTAGAAGGGAAATAATAAAATAATACAAATACAATACAACTATTAAATTCTCACGACGTTTCGATTGCAACACAGGCAATCATCATCAGGTGTGAAAACCACAGCAAGGAAATTTGAAAACCGCCACTTTTTTCAAATTGTCTTGCTGTGGTTTTCACACCTGATGACGATTGCTTGTGTTGCAATCGAAACGTCGTGAGAATTTTATAGTTTTCTTTTTTATTATTTCCCTTCTACATGACTTTACCGAAAGAACCAAGAATATCTTGGACATGTGATGGCAAGACGAGGGGATGGGAATACGTTTGGACTCGGAATCGAATAATAATCACAAGAAGCCGTGGAAGATCTCGGATGTATTGAAACCGAAAGAAACGTGAACCACTGCATGCGACTGGCAGGAGAATCCAGTGCAAAGTTGACGAGTAAATATCAGAATCAAAATCAGAATCTGTATTTATCCTGGAGGAATCCGATGAGCTACAAAGCTCTTTTTTCTCACAGATGGTCCAGTAGGGGCCACGGAGTAAGAACGTTACATCACCAAACGGTTCAGTAACACGATCGCAGTGCAAAGTCCAAGAAAGGTAAACATCACCCAAACACAAACAAATACAACACGAAACCATTCCCATCCTGCCAAGACACGGACGGAGATGAATGGGACGAAGCCCATACATGCTGAAATCTTTGAGAAAAAGGACACGGGGGCCGCACACAAGACACCCCGAATGTAACACCGTGTGTCATTTGTATGTGTGGACGTTGAGTTTCTTTCGCAGCGTACGTAGCCCATCGTGCTGATCGAAGGAGCGGGGGCAGGACTACAATCTAAACACACCAAAAGCAGTGCTAAAGAAATTATTTTTCAATCCGGATGATGTAAAAGTGCATAGCTCCCAGTAGCTTCCGAATATCGAAAGGAAGAGCGTTCCAGACGGACACAAGTCTTTGTTTAAAAGTGCGCACAAAAACGTCACGGGTATACTTTTAAAAGGCACACACACAGCCCCTGTATTTCTCCACGATGTGAGGATGATTTTTTTTAAAACGACGAATTTGCTTTTGATCGTCTCTGGAACTGCGTAACTTCCTCTGTTGCCCTCGCCGAGTCTCTGGGCGGCGTGGGGGCATCATGACCTGAACGGCGACATTGGCCACTGGAGTTGCGCATGGTCCACCACCACCCCCCCATCCCCCTCTAATTTAATGAATCCGCTGCCACGGTTCGATAATTCGCCCACCGCCACCCCAACTGCTGTAAAACCTACAGCACAGCAGCTGCCAGGACCCGTCGTGGTTCACAGAGAAGCCACCGCTGTCGACATGATTATTACCCCCAGTTGCACCACCTGTGCGTGTGTGTGCGTTCGCGTGGTTCGACGCATTCTGGATTTCGCAATGGCCACGGTGTTTCCGCGATGATGTTCATGCGTATTCTCGTTTGGTCTTTCGGTAAAGTCACGGAGATAGGTTCAAAGAAAATAACGAAATACTAAAAAAACTACGACGTTTCTGAAGACGACCGCCATCCGGATCAATTGGACCTCCGAACAAATAACAAATTCGCCCGTCGCATGCTGCGCGTGCCCCCGATGATTGCCAAACGCATGTCGTGTCGAGCGAACGTGCGAAATTCGATTAAACGCCCGCAACATTGCATTCAAATGTTGGGGGGGGGGTGTCGTATACATCAACAGCAATCATTGCCCCCCCCCCAACTGGCAGACTCTGACCCCCCCCCCCTCCCAGGGTCACGCGAGTGCCGGACGAAGCTAGTACGGGGCCTGTAGCATTTGTTGTTATAAAGGAGCACTAAATAAAAAAAACACAAACATTCAAAACACACAAATGTTTTAACTTGCATAGTAAAGTACTGTAATTGTTTTTTTCATTTGCTATACGGCCGGATAATACGACAAATCGCCAAACTTAAACACCCAGTCGTTCGTAAAAGTTGAAGGCGGTATAGTGCTATTGTAATAGAGCAAGTGCAGAATCACTGCACCGGAATTGATAGCTTGAAAGCGTTTAGCGTGGGGCCCATGAAAGTGCGGGGCCCGTAGCATATGTAGCTACTACACGTGCAGCTGCTACACGTGCAGCTGCTATACGTGCAGCTGCTACACGTGTAGCTACTACACGTGCAGCTACTACACGTGCAGCTACTACTAATATAGCTACTACACAAGCAGCTACTACACATGCAGCGTTCTCTACGTCACAAGGGGCGCTCTCTACGTCACAAGGGGCGCACGCACAAAGACAAAGATGCCCCGTGTAGCCGTTAATAGGTTGTTGGGCCAAGTGCTGTTAGCGATTTGCACCTATGAACGCCGGCACGGTTACACGAGGGGGTGGGTGGCCAGCACCATGCCCTGGCCGCCTTTGTCTCCCTCGTGGCGATGTTTACTACACACCGCACAAGGTACTCATTTAAGGCTGAGTCCACCTACGGGGGAAGGGGGGTGTGGCGCTGAACAAGTTGAGATAATCGTGAGCGGGGATATCACGGACTCGGGACGCTGGATTCGTAGCGCAACGCACTACACCAGTGGGTCTCAACCGGGGTACGCGGGGTGATTTATAAACTGTGTGGAATAATTTCATACATGAGAGTCCTTGGTGAACTCATCGTATTCGACTCTGCTCAATATTAAATTACTACGATAAAATGTAAATCCACATGGTAACCTTGAACGATGTGAAAGACTAGATTTGAAGTTTTCGTGACTGCAAGGATCCATACTCTTTGCTTTTTTCGGTAAAGGCACGTAGGTTAAAAAAAGAAAACAACTAAATGAAATCACGACGTTTCGGAGGCAACACAAGCTTCCGTCTTCAGGTGGAACCGTCACAGCAAATTACTAGTAATTTAGCTTCGTCTTGATTTAGTTTATTTGTTTTCTTTGTTTAACCTACGTGACTTTACCGGAAAAAAAATCAAAGAGTATAGATATAAAAGACCTTTCTAAACTCATTGATCGTAAACAATGTGGTTCATTATTCATACATTTATTTCTCAGAGCCATCTTGGGGTGAGGCTAGGGGGGGGGAGCGGGGGCGGGGGGGGGAGGGTTACTCGGTTGAAATAAAATGTGGGTTGACAACCCACATTCACTACGCAAACAACCCCCCCCCACACGCACGTACACACGTGTGGAGCGGTCGCGCAGTGAATGTGAGCCCACGCGCGTAGACTCCGGTGCAAGAGAATCAGGGCTCCGATGTCACACGGGATCCGCCCGTTGGATGCCCTCATCTCAATTTGTAAATCGCGCAAGCTCCTGGGTTGCCACGGCACGCGTGACGTCACGCGGCACGTGACCTGAACAATCATCGGGCGCGCGCAGCGAGTAACGGCGTCGCACGAACCGGGGTCAGTTTTGGGGGTCGCCACCTCGAGACGCAACGACTTGGCGCGGTGGGGTGGCGAGGATTATGGAGGACCAGAAGACCGTCGCTGTAGGGACCGTCGCTCTCTGTCACGTGTGAGACGCGTTGGGGGTATTTTGACCCCGAAGAATTTGGACCGTGGGGGTCAGAATAATGGTTCGGATTGTGGCCAGAATTAAGGTTTTGATGAGGTCTTGATTTGAAGCTTTCGTGACTGCACGAATCCCCATACTCTTTGGTTCTTTCGGTAAAGTCACGTAGGTAGCAAAATCTAACAAAATAATGTATCACGACGTTTCGATCGCAACACAAGCGGTCGTCCTCAGGCGGAAAAAAATATCCCGCAGTTGTTCCACTGCTGGATTATATATTATTTTTCATTTCGTTTTATTTTTCTACCTACGTGACTTTACCGAAAGAACTACAACGAGTTATGATGAGGTGTTGAGATTAAGATTCCGGTTCCCATTAGGGTTGGGATTACGCTCAAAATCGGGATTAGGGTTAGGATTAGAGTTCGGATTAGGGTTAGGATTAAGGGGAATCGTCAGAATTAGGGTTGTGGTTCGGGAATAATAATAATCATGATAACACGGTCAGAATTTACACTTCTAAAAGCGCCTTTCACCCGGAGATCATAAGCCGCTGTACAAAAGACACGGGGCAGGGCTCGCATCAAAACAAAGGAGTGGGGGGGGGGCAGTAGAGGGGTGGGGGGCGATCCTGACAGGGGGAGGGGTCGATGGGGGATTTAAATCAAATTGAGTATCCTGACCTCGGAGTCACGGGTCGACGGTGGACAGAAATTCCGTCTCGCACCTGCCCATGTCCACTCCAGCTTCAGCACCCCGTCCCGATGCCTCTACTCCGAAAAGTTCGTTCAGCGCCCGGCACACGACGCATTCAACGGAGCCGTTGAATGCGGCTCCGTTGAATGCGGATCGTGGGTCGTGGGTCATGAAGTAGCGCCACGGCCCTCGCTGCGTGCCGGAGTCCACGGTCTCTGAGCGTGAGTCTGCACGACTCTTTGGGTCTCGAAGCGCGTCCCGTTGTGCGTTTCTCGGCAAGTCGACGTGACACGGTTTAAAAAAAAAAAATCTTAAGTCAGGTCGATTCCGTTTCGGCGAGCTCTTGAACATTTTTTGCTTTATATATGTATACGTACACCCGGCACACCACATCCAGTATGTACACCTCGCCGAACAACCAAAGCAAAATAAAAAACCCAACAACACTCAGAGGTGATTATTGTTATTTTACCCTTCTATCTGGCAACAAAACTGACACCTTTTTTTACAAGGAGTCATGTTTGCATAGACCACAATACCTGCAGCCATAATGCAAAAAAACCACTACTCTGATAATGTGCAGTTTTGTTGCCAGATAGAAGGCTAAAAAAACAATTATCATATTTTTTTTACTGGCAAATGAGGTTCCAATGGTGTAAACACTCAAAGGATCACGCGCCGCGACCCCGGTGAACCCGGCCACCTGCCACGTCCCCCACCCACCATGCGCTTGAATGCCGCCCTAAAGTCCTCGTTCAGAGTCGGTGTAAATGAGCGGGTTCACCAGCGAGTTGGCGTAGCCGAGCCACGAGATGAGCTCGGAGAGCGCCTCGGGCGGCGCGCACGCCTCGCACACGTTCACCACGAGCTCGCGCACGAAGAAGGGCAACCAGCAGAGGGTGAACGCGCCCAGGATGAGACCCAAGCGTCTTGGCCGCGCGACGCTCTCGCGACTCCGGAGATGCGACGGAGCCTCGGGCTCGCGGTGCCACCGCCGCCGCGCGCCGCTTGTGGGGCCCAGAGCGACGCGGACAGCGAACGGCAGCGGTGAGGCCTCGATGCTGAGGCTGCTGCTGCTGCTGCTGCCTCGCGGGATGAGTTAACGTGGGGCTGGGCAGGCTGTGGGTTGTGCGGCGCGCGGGGTTTTGATTGAGGGTTCCGTGGTAGCGCTTGCGAGGCGTGCAGGAGACGTGTCTCGGGCTCCTGGGGGCTTCCTGGCTGGGCGCGCTGAGATGGTTTTTGAGGGGCCCGGGAGGGTCGTTCCGTCGCTACGAGCGGCGGTGCGGAGTTCACGGTGGCGGCAGCCGGGGAGAGCCGCGGTTGCGTTTGAGGGATCTGAAATCCGCGTTTGGACGCTTGGGACCCACGCCGGGGAGATGGAGCGTCCGAGTGGGAGGCCTGGGACCCTGTCCGAGGGTCTTTGCTGCCCGGTGGGGGCACCTGGGGTCCTGGCAGTGCGACCGGGGACCTACAATCCGAACCTGATTCTGATCCTCGGGACTCCCGTGAGCGGTGCAGCGGTGATTCCGTCCAGGGGCTTGGGCCGCGGCTTGAGTAACTTGGCACTGGGTCTCAGGCACCCGAATCTCTGCCACGGGGACCGGGGAATCCACCACCACCGTCGCCTCGTATCGTTTCTCGACCCCCTCCTCCATTTGGCCACCAGCAGCAGGCGCCACCGCCCGCTCCATCTCCTCACATGGCGCTCTCTCATTATCACCATCACGATCCTCCTCGTCATCCTCGTTATCGTCTTCATCTCCCTGCAGCCGCTGATGCCGACCCTGCCCACGTCCATGGCCATGCCCATCCTGACCCTGAACCTCTTCCTGCAGGGGTACCCCCGCGTCAACCCCCGCGAGGGACACCCCCGTGGCTACGACCCCTCCGTTGGGGGTGGCCCCGCACAGGACGCGGCTGCCGCGGAGGCCTCGGCGAAAGTGCGAGCGCGCGGCGCGGTAGATGCCGCAGTAGAGCACGAGGAGGAGCGCCATGGGCGCGTAGAAGGCACCCACGGTGCACACCACGGCGTAGAGGACGTGCGCGTGACGCGCCGCGCAGCGCCGCCGAGCGGCCGCGTCTCGTTCGGCTCCGGGCTGCGGCGCGCGGGTGGTGGCGGCGGTGGTGGTGGTGTGGTGGGTAGGAGGGGTGTCCGACTGGGTGGACACGGGGTCTGCCGGCACGGCCGATCCTCTCTCGGTTTGCGCAGCAACACCAACACCAATACCACCACTAACACCACCAACATCATCACCAACACCAACACCACCAACATCACCACCAACAACACCAACATCACCACCAACAACACCATCACCACCAACACCACCAACACTACCACCAACACCACCAACACCATCACCACCATCACCAACACCATCACCAACACCATCACCACCAACACCACCACCACGGGTGGTCTGCACGTGCGGTGCATCGCCACCGCCGTCACTGCCGAGGGTGCCGCCACTCTCCTGGGCGTCGTCCGGCGGGGCAGTCGGCGCCGGACCCTCCACGCGGCCGTGCGTCCGCGCCGCGTCGTTCCACGCGCCCTCTGCTGCGGAGACGACTGCGGCGGCGTCGGTCCGGGCACCTCCAGGCTGACCGCCACCGCCCACGGTGGCGAGCGCGAGGGGCATCGACACGAGGATGGAGGCGACCCAGACGGCGGCGATCATCGCGGCGGCGCGACGCGGCGTGCGTCGCGGTGCGTAGCGCACGGCGCGCGCGATGGCGCAGTAGCGGTCGAGGGCGATGGCGCAGAGGCTGAGGATGGAGGCCGTGCAGCAGGTCACGTCAGCGCTCGTCCACACGGCGCAGGCGGCAGGGCCGAGCGGCCACGAGCCCGTGGCGGCCGCTGCGGCTCCCGGCGGCATCACGAGCAGGGCGACGAGTAGGTCGGCCACGGCCAACGAGCAGATGAGATAGTTGGCCGGGTGTCGCAGTTTCGGGGTGGCAGCCACTGCGGCGATGACCAGGCCGTTGGCGAGAGCCGTGGCCAGGGCCACGGAGGCCAGCAGCAGCGAGACGGTGGCCGTGTGCGCAGCGGAGGTGGTGGAGGCGGGGGGAGCGTCGCTCCACGGCAAGGAAGAAGATGAAGAGTTCATGGTTCGGAGTCGATGCGGTGAGACCCCCTCGCTCATCGTCGCCGCGTGGGCGAGGGGGTCTCTCTCTGGGGGGACATGGTGCGGCGGTGAGTTGGGGGGGGTCCTTCAGGGGTCCTGGCAGGGGTTCGTGGAGACGAGGTGGGGGGCGGGGGGCGTTGTGGGGGGGTCCACGGTGAGCGACGGGGAAGGAGGTGACGCGTGCGGTGAGAGGAGAGTCGATGGCAGTTGTTGATGATGGCGATGATCGAGGTTACTGCTGGTGCTGCTGATGATGATTAAACTACTACTGCTGCTGATGATGATGATGCTTAAACTGCTGCTGCTGATGATGATGATTAAACTGCTGCTGATGATTGCTGCTGCGCTTACTGCTGTTACTGACAATGTTTATGCTGTTTATTATGATGATGATGATGGTAATGATAGTGCTTAAGTTGCTGATAACGATGCTGCTGCTCACGATGATGATGTTGATGATGATGATCACAGTCTGGTGTAAGACCTCGTCGCTCGCAGCAGCAGCAGCAGAAGCATCTTCGAACTCTGGCGGCGAAAGGGAGGGTTGTGATCACAGCTGGCGCCTACACACCCCCCGTCACCCGACGGCAGGAGAGAGTGTCACCTCCCATCCTCCCTCCCTCCCTCCCTTTCACCTTCCCCTCCCTCTCACCTCCCCCTCCCTCTCCGTCACCCTGCCCGATCACAAATACGAAGCAGGCCACATCGTCACAGCGATTCACAAACCCCGCGACCGCTGACACATCACAGAGCATCGTATCTGGCTTGAGCATCAGCATCGGCCAAGCGAAGAAGATCATCCGCTCTCGAATCGTTATCTATCTCCTCTTCTCGTCAGTCCCTGCATCACCTAACCCCCCCCCCTCCACTGATCCTCCTTCCAACGTCCCACCCATACCCCCCTCCCTCTCATCCTCCTCTACCCCCTCCCCCTCCTTCCCCCCTCCCTCCCTCTCATCCTCTTCTACCCCCCCTCCATGCCCCCTCCCTCTCCCCCTCCTTCCCCCCTTCTCCCCCCCTTCCTTCCCCCTCCCTCTCATCCTCCTCTACCCCCCCTCCCTGCCCCCTCCCTCTCCCCCTCCATCCCCCTCCTTCCCCCTCCCTCCCTCTCATCCTCTTCTACCCCCTCCCTGCCCCCTCCCTCTCCCCCTCCTTCCCTCTCCTTCCCCCCCCTCCCTCCTCCCTCCCCCCTCCATCCCCCTCCTTCCCCCTCCCTCCCTCTCATCCTCTTCTACCCCCTCCCTGCCCCCTCCCTCTCCCCCTCCTTCCCCCCTCCTTCCCCCCTTCCTCCCCCCTCTTATCCTCCTCTACCCCCCCTCCCTCTCCTCCTGCCACCCCCTCCTTCCCCCTCCCTCCCCCTCCCCCCTCCCTCTCATCCACCCATCCACCTCCCCTATCCCCGTCCATGAGCCCAGACCAGATATGTTCACCTGGCGGGTACCACGTGGGGTGGCACAACTTTACCGATTCAAATGCCTTCAATTATAACCGGTGAGTTTATGTGGTCACCACTTGCAATGAGTAGAGTTATCGAGTAAGTCACTCTCATTAGCCGTGTAAATACATCGGTAAGACCAACGGTTTGCAACCTTGGGTGGTGCCAATTTCCCATCTGACACCATGGTGTAATGTGCGTATGTTTGTATGTATGTTGAACGAAAGCCGTTCTTCCCCCGCACCTCCGATTATAAGGACAACAAACTAAACAGAAAAGCAGTTGTAGATTTATAAATTAGTTTTCAATCTAGGGAATAACCTCCCTCCATCCCACTCAAGGCCCTCTCCCCCCCCCCCAATATCCCCCTACCCCCTACACCCCTCCCTCTCTTCCACCCCATCCTATAATCCCTGCCCCCCACTCCCTATACGACTGCCAGCCCCCCACTCCCTACACTACTCCCTGCAATACTGCCTGCCCCCCACTCCCTACACTACCCCCTGCCCCCTACTCCCTACACGACTGCCTGCCCCCACTCCCTACACTACCCCCTGCTCCCTACTCCCTACACGACTGCCTGCCCCCCACTCCCTACACTACCCCCTGCCCCCTACTCCCTACACGACTGCCTGCCCCCCACTCCCTACACTACCCCCTGCCCCCTACTCCCTATACGACTGCCAGCCCCCCACTCCCTACACTACTCCCTGCAATACTGCCTGCCCCCCACTCCCTACACTACCCCCTGCCCCCTACTCCCTACACGACTGCCTGCCCCCCACTCCCTACACTACCCCTGCCCCCCACTCCCTACACGACTGCCTGCCCCCCACTCTCTACACTACTCCCTGCCCCCCACTCCCTACACGACTGCCTGCCCCCCACTCCCTACACTACTCCCTGCCCCCCACTCCCTACACGACTGCCTGCCCCCCACTCCCTACACTACTCCCTGCCCCCCACTCCCTACACGACTGCCTGCCCTCCCTCGCGCCTTGGCATGGACACAGAACCCCACCACGCGATTCCGCGTCTCGGTTGAGTGACTTGGCGGGTCCAGGCACACCTGGGCAGGCACCTCGTGATCAATCGCGATCACCTGGGATAGAGAGCCACCTGTAAATGCGGGTGGTGGTGGGGGGGGGATGGGGGGGATGGGGGCAGTGAGGGATATGGGGGGCGCTGTCACCGCACGTGATGGAAATGTCACCCGGACGTACAAACATGCAAGTGCAATAAGGGTCTAAAAATAGCACGCGTGCAGCAGCAGGGGTGTTGTGAGTGTCTGTGTGGTGCAGGACACCCACCACGCCCTCGTGTGCCACAGTGCCGCCCATCGCAGGGGCTGCTACTCGCTAACAGCACTTGCCCCACACAGTCTTGGCTCTGACGGTGGTGGTGGTGGGGGGAGTGTGTGTGGGTTGTATTGGGGGGAGCGGAATTGTAGTGGTTAGGGGACGTCCATAAATGACGTCACGCGATTTTGGACAATTTTTGACCCCCCCCCCCTCGTCACACGGCATCACAAGAAGTCAGCCCCCTCTCAAATATGACGTCACAAAGCTCTGCCCCCCCCCCCCAAAAAGTATAAAACATGCTTCAAATCGCTTTAAACTATTGTCATTGTAGTGCGTATTTAATGTGGCGCTGCACTCTGATGTTGTTGGAGAAAAAATTTATTACAATGTTTTTATCGGTAAAGTCACGTAGGTAAAAAATTAAAATTAATAAAAGTAAAATAAAAAATAAATTATTTTTATTTTACTTTTATTAATTTTTATTTTTTACCTACGTGACTTTACCGACAAAACCTAAGAACATTTATTAAAAAGTCTATTTAACTAAGTAGAACGTGTTGTCTATATTTAAAGTTGCGCATTTTGATGTGACGTCACATTTCTCAAACACCCCCCCCCCCCCCTCGTTACACATCGTCACAAATGTCTGACCCCCTCCCCCGCCCCTAGGTGCGTGACGTCATTTATGGACGGCCCCTGAGTTCGATTCGCGCCGATTACGATCAACACGCACGCGCGTTCAACTTTTTTTCTCGCCGTTCGTAGCCAAACGTGCTGATCAAAGGTGCGGAAAGGAATAACTCTAAAACGGTGCCGGGCATCCCCTAGGTTGACTCAGCCTTAAATGAGTATCTGGGTGCTGTGGGTGAATATCAGCTGTGGGTCGGTACGAGGTCGGCGGGCGTGGTTGCGTGTTGACCTCCATAGGTGCTGCTGCTGCTACTCGCTAACAGCACTTGCCCCACCAGTCTATGAAGGCTACACTGTGGAGGAGAGAGGGGGGGCTTTGTCTATTTTTGTGTTGTCTTCCTCTGTATGGGCTGTGTTGTTGTTGTTAGTGCGCCGATGCGGGCATTAATGGGTGCCCGCCAACAGCGACTGCCCCACAGACCATTTCGCATGAACACCTGTGCCGCTTTGAAATCTGCAGGCCGGCCTTGCCAGCTTGCCTCCGTGGGTTTCACCAGACTGGGTTGTGTGAGCGGACCACGGATCGTTCACAGATCTGGACACAGTCCCATCATGGGGGAGATGCTCATCCGGCACGCCGAGGCAGGAATGATGGCCGGGGTCACTTAGCCCGCAATCAGACAGCGAGTCAGTATCATCAGAGGTTGTTTGGGTTATGGATGAAATTGGTCGCGAAAGCCTACGTGTTGAAGTGAGCCACATTGCAACCCTGAGCTCTGCAATCCTCTTACGTGTCAAAGTTGCAGTCGGCCAATGAATGAGGACATGTCGGAGGCGAGCAGGGCGCTTGGAGAAAACCGACGCGTGCGAGGGAGCAACACTCTATCCCGCGCAGACAGAACAGATGAGAGTCCACATTTGCTGTTCTGCCTTCTCGCGGCGAGCCAAGGGGGTATACGGCCACCTCGCTGACGCTCACGAGAATGGAGTCACACCAGGCGCACGTGCGTGCGTGTGTGTGATCCACGAAACCTCGCCTCCTCTACAGTGCCACGCGCAGCATAGCCACGAACCAAACGGCTGATGAAGTCCCTGGGTGTGTGTGTGGGGGGGCAGGGTAGTTTGGCCATACTTTACCGCACTGGTTAATGCGGGTGGTTGGTGGTGGTGGGGGCATTCCAGGACCAGTTCAAATAATAGTGGGGCTGAACGATTTGGGGAAAGATCTAATTGCGATTTTTCTGACAGATATTGCGATTGTGATTTGATTTGCGATTCAATTTTTTCAAGTCAAGCGTCAGTTCAATATTCACTGTGTAATAGATTCAAAACGTGTGATGGAGCATTACCACATGATACCATCAAAATATGAATTGCTCTATATATTTTAATGCAAGGATGATAACTTAAAAGATATGAATTGCTTCCAACGTGTATTTATAAAAAAAAAATTGAAAAAGAACATTCAAACATAGAAAAATTGTGAAGTTAAATACATAAAGTTATAATAATACAAAATAAAACAATTCCAATAAGAAAGAAAAAGGACTTTTTTCAAATCGCAAAAAATCGCAGCCTTTGCAATTTGCTAATCGCATTGTTTCAAATTGCGATTT